TTCGGTTTCGGCCGAAAGTCATTTTTAAACTTTCGGCCTTTTTTCGGTTTCGGCCGAAAGTCATTTTAAACTTTCGGCCTATTTTCGGCTTCGGCCGAAATCAGAAAATCACTTTCGGTCGGTCTCTAGTATCGTGACAATCACGTTAAGACTTGTGCAGGTAAAGTCATCTTTTATTCTGAATATTTCCAGAGGGAAAGTGATCTTGTCAACTTCAATCACCTAGTGCAATTTGCTACAACGGCTACGGTTTCAAATTTTGGTGCCTTTATGTACTTTGATAGTAGGAAGGTGGCTTCTAACTAACATGTCCCTAAGACTCTTGTCCCTAAGGAAAGCGATAAGAGGAGATTTTCTGAAAAAATATTATTTGTAAAGGGGTCTGCATTAGAATTAAGCTTTTTTTTCACAACTTAAAAACGAGCATTAAGGTAATGGAATGGAAAAGTTAAATTGAATTTAGACCTATCTCGAGTGTCTGAATGAGTAGCTTTAAAAGAATCGTTTCTAGACATGTCTTCAATTCGAGTGACAAATGCTTTTTAGCTCTCCTCAGGATATAACCTAGCTTGGAAAAAATCCAACATTGCATGCGTCCTTCCCCCACAATCCTCATCATTGCTAAAGTGTCTTCTCATTCTAAACACCTGAGAATAAGCAATGGAGATTTTACATGATTGAGGATGGGATGATGAATATAGTAGGAAACTGTGACTGTCTGTTTTGTTATAGTAAATGGAAGCAGATATGTTGTTCTGGTTAAGCTTAATTTGTAAGTACTCAAAATGTGTATCACATTTATGGATCATTGAAGAGGATTTGATGGCCGGATAAAACCCTCCAATGAAGTCAATAAACTTTTCTAGTTATGTTTTGTCCATGTAACAAATAAGATGAGTTTCAAAACCATAATTGTAAAAACAAATCCTTCTTAATTAGAAAAAAAAACAACAACTGATATTCACACTAAGTAAATGATATCTAAATGAGCAGCATTCAGTAACATATCTAGGGGAGTGTGGGGGTGAATACCGCAGCGGGTGACACTAGTTCAGGGGGTGACACGCAATAGAAAAATTGTCAAATCAAAAATTCGTTCCTATCAAATTTCATAAAAGGATAACCGATCACACGTCAATTTTCCACTCATTTAACTATATTTAGAAATGTATCAGTTTACCAGAAAGTAAACATGCCGAAAATGGCCAAACGTTCTGTTAAAAACTTTCTGATGTGCTGCGAATGAAGTCACATAATCTGTCAAAAACTGATATATAACATGCAAATAACTGCTACATAAACAAACATAAATTTTTAAATCCACGAACCTCAAAATTATTTGTTTAAATCAGTGGTTGGGAAATCGCGGCTCCTGAGCCGCATGCGGCTCTTTAGCGACACTAGTGCGGCTCAGCCAGCCGGCCAAAGATCGGTTTTGACTCCACAAAACATGGTTCTTGACAGGTTCTTGAAAAGAAATTTGGCTCAAATTTTTAATGATCCAACTGTTGATTTTTGTCTCTGTTGACTTAAGAGTTTGCCGAACCAATGGTCTGGATCATATACATATTTATTTTGCGATGGACTGCGTGTCGGTATCAATATGACTATCTGAACGGTTTATAAAAAATTTCGAAGAAAATTGGAACTTTTTTGCTAAAGTCATAGTGTTGTCACATAGATGCCATTTTGATGTCACATCGGTGATGAAGCGAATTTAAAAAAAAAATGTTGTTAAAATAATAATAACAATATATTAATATGTATGTAGGTATGGCATCTTTCCGTCTCCGGGAGACGATAGATCATCTTTATTGCTTGCATCCTCGAATGGCAGTCTCTGTTACATTTCCCACACACGAATGCTGTGGAGCAGTATTTAACGGCCTTCCTCCTAGCTCTTTTTGCAGCTTTTTCCACCCTGTTTTGCTCCTCTGCATGTAGTGATCCTGCCTTCACGATGCCCCGCCATGAGGATCGATCCTCTGCCAGCTCCTCCCAGTTTAAAAGTGTCGATGTTGGCAAACTTCATGTCTCTTTTGCATATGTCTAAGTATCTAAGACGAGGCCGTCCAACTGACCTTTTCCCTGTCGCCAGCTCGCTGTATAGCACGTTCTTTGGTATGCGACAAGGTTGCATTCGCTTGACGTGTCCAAGCCAGCGGAGGCGTCTTTGGATTAACATGGCTGGGACGCTACACAAGTTCGTTTGGGACAGGACATCCGTGTTTGGGGACTTTTTCTTGCCATTTAATGTCAAGGATGTGACACAGGCATCTGAGGTGGAAGCCATTGAGTCTTCTTTCGTGGTTAGAATATGTGGTCCACGACTCGCATCCATACAGGAGTGTACTCAGTACGCAGGCCTGGTACACCTGCAGCTTAGTTCTCGTTGTGAGTTTGGCGTTTGACCTGACTCTTTTTTTTAATCTGGCCATAACAGTTGCGGCCCTCCCTATCCTTCCTCTTATCTCATCCTCCATTGAGAGGGTGCTCGATATGTTGGATTCCTGATATGTGAATCTGTCAACAGTATCCAAGTCATAGTCATCGATGGCGATAGTAGAGAGGGAGTCAGCGCCCTGTTCCATAATGTTAGTTTTCTTTAGGCTAATTGTCAGGCCAAACTCTTTGCAGGCAGCGGATAGGCTGGATACGAGGCTCTGCACGCCATCTGCTGTGTGAGATACCAAAGCGGCATCTTCTGGAAACAAGAACTCCCGCAGCAAGACCTTTCTTGTTTTAGTCTTAGCTCTAAGGCGGGCAATGTTGAAAAATTTGCCATCATCTCTAGTGTGGATGTATATCCCCTCGCTGTTGTTCTTAAAGGCATACTGGAGTAGGATGGAGAAAAAGATTGCAAATAAAGAATGCGCCAGCACGCAAACTTGCTTTACTCCACTACTCACTTGACAAGCTTCTGAGGCAGCACCGTTATAGCACACTGTGCCCTGTATGTTTTCGTGGAACTGCTTGATGATGTTAAGCAGTCGTGTATGGCAGCCTATCTTTTTGAGGATCTGAAACAGGCCGCTTCTGATGACAAGATCAAAAGCCTTAGTGAGGTCAACAAACGCAATGTATAAAGGCATATGTTGCTCCTTGCATATCTCCTGCAGCTGGCGCCGAGAGAAGATCATGTCTATGGTTGACCTATTGGCGCGAAAACCACATTGCGATTCTGGGAGTACACGGGATGATAGGGTCTGTAGGCGTGTTAATGCAACTCGGACGAAAGCCTTTCCAACTATGCTGAGGAGGGAGATTCCACGATAGTTGTTGCAGTCACTCTTGTCTCCTTTATGTTTGTACAATGTAACGGTGTTTGCATCTTTCAACTCTTGTTGTAGCTGTCTCTGTTCCCAGCACAGAATAAGGAGATCGTGCAAGGGCCTTAATAGTACTTCTTTTCCACATTTGAGAGCTTCTGTTGGGATACCATCATTGCCCGTGGCTTTCCCACTGGTGTGACAATCGATGTCTCTGCGTAGCTCTTCTATGTTGGGTAGTCTGGGATATCGTCCAGGGCAGCGGTTGAGACATGGTTTATCGTTGCGTATATTTCCAAGTAGTGCTCTATCCACCGCTTAAGTTGTTTATCTCGGTCAGTAATAATTTCCCCTGATTTGGACATTAAGGGCGCAGTCTTGGAGATCAGAGGGCCCGTTGTTTGCTGTATATTCTCGTACATTGACTTTGCATCACCTCTATCAGCAGCTGATTGTATGCTGGAGCTTAGATTAAGCCAGTATGTGTTAGCATAATAATATGTAAGCTTTTAGAATCAGTGAGGTAGATGGATGAAACTTTAGCAATGTTAATAAAGCAAACTTTAAATTCAATCAAAAACTTAAAAAATATGCTAACTTGAAGTGCAAACTGGTGCGCTGAAGTGCTAACTTATGCGCTGCTACGAGTTACAGTCAAAGTTTTTAATGCACCAAAACAACTTCCTTTGTTGATATCTTCTTTCCATTGACAAGTTTAAAATCCGGTGTGTGTGTGCGTGGCTTATTGATTAGTTTTTTATGAAATAAAATACTATTTTAGACATTATTTCGTTGAATCATTTGCACAACACTTTAAAAGTGCACATAGTCTGATCAAAAGGAAACAGTAAAGTAAGAACACGCATATGCAAAGCATTTAAACGCTATATGGATCTAAATAATGGACTCTTTGAAAACGTTATCGGTCACATAATCTTAATATAATGTTCTAAAGTAAATAAAATTAGTACATCCAGCAATAAATAATTTTAAAATTTATTTTCATGTAGCCTCCATTTCTAATTCGTGAAGTGTGGAAATTGAACAAAGAAGATCGCATCCGTGTTTGACTAGAACGGCGACATGGTGGATTTGATCGAATCATTTAGATAGATAAAGTTGTCAAAGAGAGTTGTGAGTATTAACATTGTGACCAGTGAGCTAATGGATGGCGCCTTGAAGAAAAACATTCAAGTAGCACTGACACTGGGTTGGCTCATATTCTGTTTGGCTGACATAGTCGGACTCCACAACTACAGTCCTAATTCACATTTTTCAAGTTGTCACAAGAAGCTGATTCACGAAGTCGATAATATCACTGTTGTATTTAGAGTGAACGTAGGTGAATTAACTGAGCTCAACACATCGATCTTAGAAGTCTCCCTTGTGACCAAAACCGAGGTTCTTCCGGTACGTTACTGAAAACATGTCTCATGCTTTTCAGATGTTATTGTTATAATTACATGTATTATCATTATTAGGTGGTTTTATATAGTGCAGTACCCTAGAGTAGGCCTAGCCTCACTGATATAGCGCAGTACTCCAGCCTATGGCTAGGCTCACTGAATCATCGCAGTACCCCAACCTAGGGTTAGTCTCACTGAATCATCGCAGTACCCCAACCTAGGGTTAGTCTCACTGAATCATCGCAGTACCCCAACCTATGGCTAGGCTCACTGAATCATCGCAGTACCCCAAACTAGGGTTAGTCTCACTGAATCATCGCAGTACCCCACCTAGGGTTAGCCTCACAGAATCATCGCAGTACCCCAACCTAGGGTTAGTCTCACTGAATCATCGCAGTACCCCAACCTAGGGTTAGTCTAACTGAATCATCGCAGTACCCCAACATAGGGTTAGTCTCACTGAATCATCGCAGTACCCTAACCTAGGGTTAGTCTCACCGCGCTTCGCATACAAATTAAAAATAAAAAAACAAAAACCATTAAAAAAAACAATTTGTAAAAAAAAAAAAAAAAAAACTTGACCTAACCCACCCAAGAACTATCTACCCTTGTCCAGCCATGGACAGCAGCCAGCAGAATCGAGCGTTGTCTATCAGTCAGAGGTGGGGGTGAGAGAGAATGAATCGGTATAGTACAGTTTGAAGAGATGGGTCTTGAGGTCAGTTTTTAAGGCTGTGATGGGCATAACATTGTAGATGTGTAATGGGAGAGAATTCCACTGTATCTGCATGCACGACAATTTGTTTTTGTTTTACTTTCTTTAGAAGTTATGATACCATAAAGAGAAAAATACAAAACTGTTACCAACACTTTCGGATCGTCTAACGTAGCCACTAACAATATCTATTTGAAAAGAATTGGTGATTTTTGTTGTTGTTGGTCTCTAAACATATGTATTATCCGAAATATCGATGAGATTCTTGTATGGAAATAGTAAGCTCCAGCTACCCGATTGGTACGCCCAAAATGTCTGCCCTGGCCTTCTACAAATAAGTGGCTGCAGAAATGCGCTAATGAAATTAAGTTTAAAATACATTTCTTTCAATTCACTATCACCAAGCCGGCTACGATTCTTCCAAAAGAAAGTAAACTTAAAAGGTAACAATAAATTCGACTTAGTTGAAAATATTTTCTCACTTCATGAATTTTTTTTTTTTTTTTTTTTTTTTTTTCTTTTTTTTTGTATCGTAGGAAACCGTAACAACTCTGCATAAGTGGACAGGTCTCCCGCCTGATGACGTCATCGTTCAAGGTCCCTGCACGGAGATTCCATTCATTGCAAGTGTTTTCCTTCTGAGGTGCGTACTACTGGTACGTTGTGAAATGGGACAAGGCCATATCCTCCTGACGATGGACCACCACGGAGATGTGTACAAAAGTACAATCGCCGAGATCCCAAAAGTGTACCGTATGTCACATTTTCTAATATAGATATCATTATTTTTAGTATTAGTGTAGGGTGGTCAATTGAGAGGTTTGGCGTTTGTCTGAGTCCCACCGATTTGGGCTGTCGGAGTCCCACCGATTTGGGCTGTCGGAATCCCACTTATTTTCGCTTTCGGAGTCCAACCGATTTGGGCTGCCGGAGTCCAGCCGATTTGGGCTGTCGGAGTCCAACCGATTAGAGCTGTCCGAGTCCAACCGATTTGTGCTGCCGGAGTCCAACCGATTTGGGCTGCCGGAGTCCAACCGATTTGGGCTGTCGGAGTCCAACCGATTTGGGCTGTCGGAGTCCAACCGATTTGGGCTGTCGGAGTCCAACCTATTTGGGCTGTCGGACTCCAACCGATTTGGGCTGTCGGAGTCCAACCGATTTGGGCTGTCCGAGTCCAACCGATTTGGGCTCATTGGGCTGTCGGAGTCCAACCGATTTGGGCTGTCGGAGTCCAACCGATTTGGGCTGTCGGAGTCCAACCGATTTGGGCTGTCGGAGTCCAACCGATTTGGGCTGTCGGAGTCCAACCGATTTGGGCTCTCGGAGACCAACCGATTTGGGCTCTCGGAGTCCAACAGATTTGGGCTGTCGGAGTCCCACCTATTTGGGCTGTCGGAGTCCCACCTATTTGGGCTGTTGGAGACGAGCAAAATGTCGCCTACGCCGATCAAATGTTCCGGCGTCTATTGCTTTCATTGTGTCATGGTCAAGTTTCTGACTCTGGTCAATACAATTCAAGTCCGACCTCCAAGCCCAACCCGCCCGTCATGGATTTTCAAACGCTACATTTCTTAAAGAACTTTTCTTTATCCCAATATATTTTTTATCAAAATGATTTCTAAAAATATTTTTAGAACAAAACTGATACGATACAAATTTAATGAATGCTAAAAAAATAAATATATATATATATTTAAAATTTTCTCAGAGGTCAAAACAATTTTTTATGTCTCTAAATAGAATTTCGTGAAATTTTTAATTTCAACAACAAAAAACAACAAAACAATATAACAAACGAAACAATATAACAAACGAAACAATATAACAAACGAAACAATATAACAAACAAAACAATATAACAAACGAAACAATATAACAAACGAAACAATATAACAAACGAAACAATATAACAAACGAAACAATATAACAAACGAAACAATATAACAAACGAAACAATATAACAAACGAACAAACAAAACAAAAATCTAGAAATCAAAATAGATTTTTAAAAAATGATCTTTGAGAATGTTTTCTTATGATCCGTCACGCTAATAATGCCATTTCCATTTAATGATTGGTACGTTTGACGGGAAAGAGGTACACGTTCTGGCGTTTGAAGAAACTACTTTAAATACATTCTTTCCATTTTGGTTGAAAATACTTAATCGTATCTACTATTTATTCTTCTACATTAAGCGATGTGTAGCAGTGGTTATTCCGAAAGGAAAGGTATATAGTCGTTGTATTATATTTTGTAATTGCTTTGCATGTGGTCATTGTATGGTATGTGGTCATTGTATGATTTGTGAACATTGCTTGGTACGTGTTCATTGTAGTCCATGGGTTTTTTTTGTATGGTCATTGTATTGTGTGCGTTCGTTGTAAGGGATATGTTCATTGTATACAATGTGGTCAATGTATTTGGCCATTGTGGTGCATGATGTCATTGTATTGCATGTGGTTATGTTCATCATTTTATTGCATGTGGTCACTGCATTGTATGTGATAATTATAATGTATGTGTTCATTGTATTGTATGTAGTCATTGCATGCTATATGGTCATTTTATGGAATGTAGTCATTGTATGCAATGTGGTCAATGTTTGGGATGTGGCTGTTGTATTAGGTGTGGTCATTGTAAGTTATGTGGTCATTGTACGGTATTTGGTCACTGTATGCCATACATGTGAAAGATGTATTCTTTGCAGTGCATCTCACAATAACTTTTGAAATTATTTTTTTCTGTCAGCTAACTGAAATGTTATATCATCTATTTTAGCATAATTAAAATAACTACAATTTAACCCACCTACAAGTGAAGGCTCATAAGCAACTTTACTAGTCGTGTATTATATAGGCCTCTGGGTGACATAACTTTCACTGAGTTATAACTTTTTAATCTGTGTATAATTTTTACTTAGGATATATATATATATATATATGTGTACAGATTAATATATAAATATATATTAACATATATATATAGACATAAAAGAATTTAAAAAAAAAATTTACATTGCGAATTTTAGGAATAACGTTCTATATCAGTGGTTCTCAACCTTTCTAATGACGCGATCCTTTAATACAGTTCCTTATGTTGTGGCAACCCCCCAACCACAAAATTATTTTCGTTGACCCTTCATAACTGTAAAGTACATGTGTTTTCAGAGGGTCTTAGGTGACCCCTGTGAAAGGGTCGTGCGAACACCATAGGGGTCGTTACCCACATGCTGAGAACCGCTGTTCTGTATATATTTTGGGGCACTTATGCAATCCTTAAATTTTATTCCATCATATTTTCTATCAAGTCATCCTTTCATTTTTTTTTTAAGCAGCTGTTCTTTTTTATTTTATGGTGATTAGCTTCTGTTTTAGGCAATATTTATTTAACCGCTGTTTGTTCATCTCCACAATGACGCAATCAAGTTGACAATTACACAGTGAAGATCGACGGGAAGGAGCTGCCACAACACGATGACTGTTCCATGACGTTTAAAGGAGAAGCCGATCCTTTGCTGGAGTTTTGCTTCGAAAAACACAACTCCCATATATCGCTGGAGATAGCGAGAGACGGAAAACACTATGCCAAGTCAACAAACCGCTGTGTGGAAGTAAAAGTAAACAACAAAGAGAAGCTGACTGAGTTTGAGTTCACAAGCCATGACTCGTGTGGCGTGCGTGGACGTCTGAAATGTGAATTTAGTGAGTTTGTACAGCTAGCAATAATACTTGGCAGAAAAGAAGGAATGTGGATGGGAAAAGAAAGCAATTGCCAATTTTGGGGGGAAATGAAATTTATAGTTCATTATTCATTTCAATAAAGGTGCACGCCATTTGTAGGAGAATGGAAAATGTATAAATGTATGTATGTATGGCATCTTTCCGTCTGCGGGAGACGATAGATTATTTTTATTGCTTGCAGCTCTTAACAATTGTTGTGAATGGTGAGACCAATCCTCGAATGGCAGTCTCTCTTACATTTCCCACACACGAATGAGGCGGATCAGTATTTAACGGCCTTCCTCCTCGCTCTTTTTGCAGCTGTTTCCACCCTGTTTTGATCCTCGGCATGTAGTGATCCTGCATTCACGATGCCCCGCCATGAGGATCGATCCTCTGCCAGCTCCTTCCAGTTTGAGATGTCGATGTTGGCCGTCTTCATGTCTCTTTTGCATATGTCTAAGTATCTCAGACGAGGCGTTCCAACTGACCTTTTCCCTGACGCAAGCTCGCTGTATAGCACGTTCTTGGTATGCGACCAGGTTGCATTTGCTTGACGTGTTCAAGCAAGCGGAGGCCTCTTTGGATTAACATGGCTTGGACGCTAAGCATGTTTGTTTGGGACAGGACTTCCGTGTTAGGGACATTGTCTTGCCATTTAATGTCAAGGATGTGGCGCAGGCATCTGAGGCGAAAGCCACTGAGCCTTCTTTCGTGTTTAGAGTATGTGGTCAACAACTCGCATCCATACAGAAATGTGCTCAGTGCGCAGGCCTGGCACACCTGCAGCTTAGTTCTTGTTGTGCGTTTGGCGTTTGATCAGACTTTTTTCTTCAGTCTGGCCATAACAGTTGCGGTCTTCCCTATCCTTCCACTTATCTCATCCTCCATTGAGAGGGTGCTCGATATGTTGGATCCCAGATATGTGAATCTGTCAACAGTATCCAAGTCGTAGTCGTCGATGGCGATAGTGGGGAGTGAGTCAGCGCCCTGTTCCATAATGTTAGTTTTCTTTAGGCTAATTTTCAGGCCAAACTCTTTGCAGGCAGTGGATAGGCTGAATACGAGGCTCTGCAGGCCGTCTGCTGTGTGAGATACCAAAGCGGCAACTTCTGCAAACAAGAACTCCCGCAGCATGACCTTTCTTGTTTTAGTCTTAGCTCTAAAGCGGGCAATGTTGAAAAATTTGCCGTCATCTCTAGTGTGGATGTATATCCCCTCGCTGTTGTTCTGAAAGGCATACTGGATTAGGATGGAGAAAAAAGATTGCAAATAAAGTAGGAGCCAGCACGCAACCTTGCTTTACTCCACTACTCACTGGAAAAGCTTCTGAGGCAGCACCATTATAACACACTGTGCCATGCATGTTTTCGTGGAACTGCTTGATGATGTTAAGCAGTCGTGTAGGGCAGCCTATTTTTTTGAGGATCTCAAACAGGCCGTTTCTGCTGACAAGATCAAAAGCCTTAGTGAGTTCGACAAACGCAATGTATAAAGGCATATATTGCTCCCTGCACTTCTCCTGCAGCTGGCGCAGAGAGAAAATCAAGTCTATGGTTGACCTACCAGCGCAAAAACACATTGCGATTCTGGGAGTACACCCGATGATAGGGTCTTTAGGCGTGTTATTGCAACTCGGGCGAAAGCCTTTCCAACTATGCTGAGGAGGGACATTCCACGATAGTTGTTGCAGTCACTCTTGTCTCCTTTATTTTTGTACAATGTAACGATGTTTTCAGCTTTCAACCCATGTGGTAGCTGTGCCTGTTCCCAGCACAGAGTAAGGAGATCGTGCAAGGGCCGTAATAGTACTCCTAAATGTATAAATAGTAATCGATTTATCGTGCTATCTAAACAAATAAAATATCACTTCATTTAACAGTGAGATTTTAACCATTGGCACAAAATTATTTATGACAATACTGCTGGGGAACAGAACCCGGGCACGTTAAGATGAAGCCTTAAAAATCTTTGTTGTGTCACCTTTGAAGCTGGCAACTTTAGTAGAGGTGATACGGTGATCTAGATGTATCAGCATAGTTATTTTTTATTTGTACGCCTTTGTTTCTGACAATCTCTTTCACGTCATCAGATTTCCACATTATAAAAACAAATGACAGCATTAAAGCTAAGCGCAAAACAAATGACTTCATTAAAGCTAAACACAAACAACTGACTTAAAGAAAGCTAAACACAAAATATGACAAAATTAAAGTTTAACACAAGACAAATGACCGAATGAAATATAAACACAAAACAAATGACCTATTGAAAGCTAAATACAAAACAAATGACAGAATGTAAGCTAAACACAAAAGAATTTACGGAATGAAAGCTAAACACAAAAAAGGACCTAATGAAAGCTAGATACAAAGCAAATGACCTAATGAAAATTAAACACAAAAAAATGAATTTTAAAAGCTAAACACAAAATAATTTAGGCAATGAAAGCTAAATAAAAAATCAAATGTCAATACAAAAGCTTAACAAAACAAATAACAGAATGAAAGGTAAACACAAAACAATTTAGGCAATGAAAGGTAAACACAAAACAATTTAGGCAATGAAAGGTAAACACAAAACAATTTAGGCAATGAAAGGTAAACACAAAACAATTTAGGCAATGAAAGGTAAACACAAAACAATTTAGGAAATGAAAGGTAAACACAAAACAATTTAGGCAATGAAAGGTAAACACAAAACAATTTAGGCAATGAAAGGTAAACACAAAACAATTCAGGCAATGAAAGGTAAACACAAAACAATTCAGGCAATGAAAGGTAAACACAAAACAATTTAGGCAATGAAAGGTAAACACAAAACAATTTAGGCAATGAAAGGTAAACACAAAACAATTCAGGCAATGAAAGGTAAACACAAAACAACTGACAGAATAAAATCTAAACTCAAAAATAATAAAATGTCAGAATAAAAACTAAATACAAAATAAATGACCTAATGATGGCTAAACACACAAAAAAATGACTGAAGTAAAGTTAAATTAAAAACAAATGACCTAATGAAATCTAAACCCAAACCAAATGAGAGACTGAAAGCTAAACACAACAAAATATGAAATAAAGGCTTAACACAAAACAAATGACGGAATGAAAGCTAAGCACAAAACAGATAGCAGAATAAAAGCTAAGTACAAAACAAATGACACAATGAAAGCTAAATACAAAAAAAAATGATAAAATGAAAGCTTAATAAAACATAAATGACCTAAAGAAATATAAACACAAAACAAATGACTTAATGAAAGCTAAATACAAAACAAATGACAGAATGAAAACTAAATTTTAAAAAAAGATTCAGCATGGAAGCTTAACACAAACAAATGACAGAATGAAAGCTAAATACAAATAAAATGACAGAATGAAAACTATTTTTTTTTAAATGTCAGAATGGAAGCTTAACACAAAACAAATGACAGAGTGAAAGCTAAATACAAAACACATGACAGAATGAAAGCTAAATACAAAAAAATGACAAAATGAAAGCTAAATAAAACACAAATGACTAAATGAAAGCTAAATACAAAACAAAAGACAGAATGAAAACTAAATTTAAAAAAAAAAAAAAGAATGGAAGCTTAACACAAAACAAATGACAGAATGAAAGCTAACAACAAAATAAATGAAAAAATAAAAGCTATATATAAAACAAGAAAAAATAAAAAAAAAAAAAAAAAAAAATGAAAAATAAAAAAAACAAAAAAAACTAAAAGAAAACAAAAAACAAAACAAAAGACAAAAAAAAAACAAAATTTAAAAAAAAAAAAAAGAATGGAAGCTTAACACAAAACAAATGACAGAATGAAAGCTAACAACAAAATAAATGAAAAAATAAAAGCTATATATAAAACAAGTGCTAGAATGAAAACTAAATACAAAACAAAAGAGATAATGAAACGTAAACTCAAAACAAATGACAGATTTAAAGCTAAATACAAAACAAATGACAGAATGAAAACTAATTTTTTTTTTTTAAATGTCATAATGAAAGTGTCAAGTTGTTAGAATCCCTGAGCGGCTGTTTAGTGCCAGGCGAACTATAAGTTCTGGTATAGCGTAGGGATACAAAGGGAAAGAGGGTAGTTCGGTAGCGTGTGCAGGTGGTCAGTTGGTCAGTAGAGCAGGGAGAGCTAGTGGGGTAGGACGCTGAACGCATAAGCGTTATTGTTAGGTAGTGTTTGTTAGTTGGTGTTAGTAGTAGTAATAGTAGTAGTAAATAGTAGTGTTATGATCCAAGTAGTAGGTGTAGTTCTTTGGCTAAACTTGTTAGCAGAACCAACACTACTAATCGGAGAACGTATTAGATTAGAGAGTGATGAAATAAAAGCTTAGAACTAATAACTCAAAGAACTCTTGTGTCCAGTGTTTGTGTACAGTGTACTCTTGTATACTGGTTTATAGTGAGTGTGTGTTAGTAATTTATCATACCCCTAGGCCTAGACAACGGAGACGACACCATCAAACACTATTTTAAATAAGCAATTCTTGACAGAAAGCTTAACACAAAACAAATGACCGAATGAAAGCTAAACACAAAATAAATGAAAAAATAAAAGCTATATACAAATCAAGTGCTAGAATGAAAACTAAATACAAAACAAATGACATAATTAAACCTATACACAAAACAAATGACTTAATGAAAGTTAAATTCAAAACAAAAAACCTAATGAAATCTAAACACAAAACAAATGAAAGAATAAAACTTTAACATAAAACAAATACCAGAATGAAAGCTAAACACAAAACAATTTGTACAAATTTTTCTTCTTTCAGGTTTTGAAGCAAACATTTCTACTTATGTTTACCAATATGGTAAGCACGTTTCAATTTCTTATTATTTTACTGACTAGCTTTACACATAGTGGAAAGATATATAAAGGCCTTATTATAGAAAAGCAAAATAAGATACCGAAAATTTTTGCGATTGTTTAAATAAAAACAGAAATAGAAAATTATTGGACAGACTCAAACACGCATGCACGCACACAATTATACACACACATAAACAGACTCACACAAACACACACAAACAGACACACACTAAACTGTAAACAACGAAACACACATAAAAACATATGCGCGATACATAATACACAGGCACATAATAAAAACTCACCCCACAATTTCTAACACACACACGCATAAACTCGCAAACACACAAACACACATGAGATCACAACCTCACAAACACATATACTCACACCCTTAGACAGCTATGCCTTCTACATTAGATATTCAGGCTTAAATGATTTTATGTGTCCTTCCCCAGTGCTTGATCACACCTCTCTTATAGCTGCGGGAGCCGTTATTCTGGGGATCTTGTTGTTTGGAATTTTGATCTGCATCAGTAAGTACGCACAATAACCACACACACACAAAACTGATGAATATACTCAAAAGTTTGTTAACACCACCTGTAATGCAGTGGAAGTAATACACCAAGTAGTTACTGACCTTGTGTAATACAATGAATTATTACACCAAGTAGGTACTCACCATGTGTAATACAGGGAATTATACGCCAACTAGGTACTCAACATGTGTAATGCAGTGTAAAATATACAACCAAATGTACTCACCAATGTGTAATGAAGCGAAAAATATACACCAAGTATGTTACACACTATGAGTAATACAGTTTAAGATATACACCCAATAGTTACACGTCATGTGTAGTACAGGGTAAAATATAACCTGGTAGGTAAGCAGCATGTGTTATAGTATCAAATCTGCCCCCCGTAGGTACCACCATGACGAATACAGTGTAAACAATACACACAGGTCATAACTTCGTTAACCTACATGTTAATGTATCGTGTTAATTTACTTACTTTATTTACCTAAGGTGTTTACCTACTGTATTTACCTACTGTGTTTACTTACTTGTGCACCTTCCGTTCTTATAACCTGAGTTTGTTGACTCTGATCTCTTAGAGTAATTTTCCCCAACCTCTTATTTAGGAACTAATGTATTTACGATATAACCTACGGAATCGGTAATTAGCAGATTGTATTCGGTATTAACCTAATGTTTTGGTATATGCATTTTTTAAAAAAAATGTGTTACAACCATTAGATTTAGTATATAATAAATAATATTTGGTACATTGCATATCAAATATGGTAAAACAATGTATCGTTTTGATTTTATAACCCAATGAATATTATACATAAACTAAGTAACTTGTATATAGCCCATTTGATTTCGTACATATAATGTGATTGATATAAGCTTATTTGGTGTACGTAACGTAATGTATGTGGTATGTAACCTATTGCATTTGGTGCATCACCTACTAGGTTGGGAGCTCAAAATGGTGCAAATCGTACATAACATTTTAATTTGATAAATAACATATCTTGTTATTAAGACTTATGAAGCGTTTAAAATGATGATGAGAAGATAAATGAGTTTGTTTCCCTATTTCTATCTTTTCTATCCGTAGAGAAGAGATGCAAAAAAACAGGTACGAAAAAACCCGCGTTACATGAAATTTTTTTATCATTATTATTTTTTCAGTAATTTAAAAAAAAAATATGTTACGTGTAGATTATTTTTTAAATAGGTTTATTTTTTTTAAATTAGAAAGAGAAACTCAATCTATCTTTAGTTTGAAACACTGCAAGTTAAATTTCTTAGTATTTTTATTATCATTAAATTTTGCACGTTAGTTGAGTAAAAGTACCATCGACAAACACGTTAGAAATCAATGCTTTTATCATCATTCTTTAATTTTTGCTACTTTTTTTTTCTTTTCAATTTCAGTGATTGCCAAAAAGAGTAAGTATAAGAAGAAAAAAAATCTATAAACAAATACATTGCTTTCGTCAGTGAAATATCTTCTACATACAAATACTGTGCGCTCCGCAGGACTGCGATATCGACATCTCGAGGCGAAGTAAACTGTAAGGCTAGAAATCAAGCATTTTATTATAGAGCGTTTTGTTGATTTAAATTTTGATGTCTTATTATGTTCTTGCAATGTATAGAATACTACCAAATTGTTTTGCTGGTCTAGATCCTCATAAATCCTACAATTTTGGTAGCCCCTTCACGATATCTGGTAGCATTTTCACGATCTCTGGTAGCACCTTAATGATCTCTGGTAGTACCTTCTCAATCTCTGGTAGCACTTTAACGATCTCTGGTAGCACGTTCACGATCTCTGGTAGCACGTTCACGATCTCTGGTAGCACGTTCACGATCTCTGGTAGCACGTTCACGATCTCTGGTAGCAATTTAACGATCTCCGGTAGCACTTTAACTATCTCTGGTAGCACGTTCACGATCTCTGGTAGCACGTTCACGATCTCTGGTAGCAATTTAACGATCTCCGGTAGCACTTTAACTATCTCTGGTAGCACGTTCACGATTTCTGGTAGCACGTTCACGATATCTGGTAGCACTTTAACGATCTCTGGTAGCACTTTAACTATCTCTGGTAGCACGTTCACGATTTCTGGTAGCACGTTCACGATCTCTGGTAGCACCTTCACGATCTCTGGTAGCACCTTCAATACTGGCGCCCTAATCGAAATTTTGGTGCGTCGTTGTTTACTTCGGTGAAACTTGCTCTACTCACCCTTTAAACATTAAACTCACTAGACGACGACATGGTCCCCGACAACAATATCATCGAGCACAATACTTTGTCAGGCCTACCCGCATCAGCGATGGCCTCTCTGTCGTCTGTTGTCATTTAAAATGTATACACATCGACCGCGATCGACAGCAAGTACATCATCCACAGGGCAAAAGCGATGACTCCATTATTTGATACGTTCATGGAGCTGCATCCAACTTTCACTTTGTCGAATGGATAGATTCATCCGTTCACCAAGGTTACGTGTTATTTAGATATTCAAGAGGTCCATTGGACTGTTTCCACTATTAACCAGGTCCATGGGACTGCTTCGACATCTCACCGTATTCTTATGACTTCTTTCACCAATCATCTTGTTCACGGGACAAAGTTCACAATTCGACAGGTGCACTGAACTGATTTCACAATTTACCAGGTCCATACGATTGATTTCACCAGCTTAAAGGGGCTAACTCCAATTTTCACCAAGTTAAAAAAAAAACTGGTTTGATTTTTTACCTGGTTAAAAGAAATAATTGTATTTTTCGCCAGGTTAAAGAGAGAAATTCCAATTATTACCAGTTTATAGGAATTAATTCCTCCATTCACCAGCTCAAAGGATTTAATTCCACCAATCACCAGGTTAAATGAAATAATTATATCTTTAGCCAGGTTAAAGAGAGAAATTCCAATAATTACCAGTTTATAGGGACTAATTACTCCATTCATCAGTTCAAAGGATTTAATTCCATCATTCACCAGGTTAAAAGGAATAATTCTTTCATTAACAATGTTCAAGGGATTAATTCTGTAATTCAACAGGTCTATGATACTACATCCAGGATTCACCATTTCCAAGGGACTGTTTAACCACAAACCATGTTCACGGGTCTGCTTTTACAATTCATCATGTCCATGGGACTGATACCTCCATTTACCAGGCCTATGGATCAGCATCCCCCATTCAGACAGTTTATTGGGACTGCTTCCATCAACAACCGTTCTTTAATCCGAACTCATCTATGCCTGCAAACACTGTCTCAATCATCCTCAGTGTATCAAATGCTGTGGTCTTCTTTCTTCTCAATGTCAAAATACACGTGTTTCACTGGTAGAGGCCCCTTCCATTACTTTTGGCGACTTTGTCTTTGTTTACTACAACACAGCTGCAATCTGCACTAATAGTCACACACGCCAGAAACTAGACACAGAACCACTAAATAAGATAATAGGGCCAGAATTTATTCTTGATACTGTATAGTTATTGTTTTCATTTTGCACAACACCGGCAACAAGGAACATCATTTTCGGCAAGTCATCAATGGCTTATAATACACATCCACGTCAAAGGAACTAAATTGACATTATGAAACCACGACTTAGTACGAACGAATTATAACTAGCTACGCACACGGGGGCTACTGTACGTCAACGGCAAAACACTGTGAACAACATGTCGACTAAGTTTCAGTTTCGAACACTGCATTCCCCACTCATTCCCCCAGAATTTAAAAGCGACTCACTTATTAAATTGACCGTTTAACACTACCAATGAAATCTCATCAATTCGTGATCAACAGCTTTCACACAAAACATATCCACGCTCACAATCAACACCTTTCTTAGCCACCTATCAACGCTTACAATCAACACCTTTCTTACCCACCTCTCCATGCTCACAATCAACACCTTTCTTAGCCACCTATCCATGCTCACAATCAACACCTTTCTTAGCCACCTATTCATGCTCACAATCAACACCTTTCTTAGTCACCTAGCCACGCTCACAATCAACACCTTTCTTAACCACCTATCCATGCTCACAATCAACACCTTTCTTACCAACCTATCCATGCTCACAATCAACACCTTTCTTAGCCCACCTATCCATGCTCACAATCAACACCTTTCTTAGCCACCTATCCATGCACACAATCAACACCTTTCTTACCCCACCTGTCCATGCTACAATCATCACCTGTTTTAGCCACCTATCCATGCACACAATCAACACCTTTCTTACCAAAACTATACATGCTGACAATCAACTCTTTTCTTACCCACCTATCCACGTTAACAGTCAACACCTTTCTTATCCAAACTATCCATGCTCATGATGAACCATGGGCGCCGTAATCAACATCTTTCTTTCCAAACTTATCCATGCTTACACTAAACATCTATCTTACCCACCTATCCTCGCATACAATCAACACCTATCTTACCAACCTATCCTCTCACACAATCAACACTGATCTTACACAACCTAACCACGCTCACAAACCCAATTCACAACACTTGGAAAAGAAATAACATTTATGTCATTTATTTTGTGCTCTCCACAGCTAAAAAATCAGGTTAGTTGCATGTCGCTTTGTATCTTACGTCTCTATTTCTTCTAATTAGCCATGTAATTTGAACCTTATGTTAATATTATGTTAGAAAAAAACAACTAAATTATAAGGTTTCGTATACTTCATTAGAATTAATGGGCTGGTGTCTAGTTAAGTAAAATAACACAATAATAATCGTAGAAATAATTGCATGATGGATGCTTTAATAAACTGTGGTAGCTGTGTAGTGCTAGTCTATTCAAACGTCCTCATTTGTGTAAATCTCCATTTTTATCATTTTAAAATTATCAGTTTGCTTTTGTGAGTGTTTTTTTTTTGTTTTTTGTACTTAACCTTCTATTTTTCGTGGCATTTCTACTTGTCTGGTATCCGTACATTTAAAAAAAAAAAAAGATCAGCATAAATTTTATGTTATTATGACTTTGCA